GTATGTACATAATATGTATTTATAGGGCCCCAACTGGTGATTTTAATTATTTCTTGGAAAATTTAAACAAATTCCTGAACAAATTGTACAAAAACTCAAAAAACATAATAATATGTGGGGATGTGAATATAAATTACCTGGTGGATACTAATTACAAACAAGAACTGGATTCGCTACTAGCTTCATATGGGCTATATAATACAGTTACATTTCCGACTAGAATTTGCTCTAACTCATCCACAGCAATAGATAATACTTTTATTAACAAATATAAAAACAAAAGTTTCAGTGTTCTTCCATGCGAAAATGGATTATCTGATCACGATGGGCAGATCATTATAATATAAAATGTTACATATATAATGAAGTAAAATCAGAGGTATACCCGTAGGGTCATCAACGAATCCTCTCTATTAAGACTTCCAAATTAATCTAAGCTATGAATTATGGGATGATATTTTTGTAGATAGTGATGTGGATACAATGTTTAATAACTTTTTAAATACTTACCTTAGGATTCTAAATTCATGTTTTCAGATCACAAAATTACAAAGTATAGATGCTAATAAATCATGGATAACCCCAAGAATTATAAAATCATGTAATAAAAAAAGGGAGCTCTATATAAAAATTAAGAGCAATAATGATTCTAGATTAAAAGAACACTATAAAATGTATTGCAAGATATTAAGTAGAGTTATCTCAACAGCAAAAAAGTTATATCTGAACAAAGTCATAAGAACTTCCAATAATAAAACAAGAACAACCTGGAAAATTATAAAAAACATGACTGGAAATAGCCAAGCTTCTACTAAGGTGACTTGTTTAAATATAAAGGGTAATATCACTCAGGACTACAAAAATATAGTAAGATCGTTTAATAACGTTTTTTAGATATAAGCAATTCTATGAAGAAATGGACAAATAATACTGTGGAAACAGATAAGAAGTTCATGGATTATTTATACACTTCATTTCCAAAAGCATCTCAGAAATTGGCATTAAAAGCAACTAACAGCAATGAAATAGAAGGGATAATAAGATCCATAAAACTTAAAGCAGCTTCTGGATACGATGGAATTACTACCAAATTAATAAAAGCAAGTGCACCATATATATCATCACCATTAACTTACATATTTAATAAGTCACTGTCTACAGGAATATTCCCTGCTCGATTAAAATATTCTGAAATAATACCCATACACAAAAAAGGGGATACAACTGACATGTCTAATTATAGACCAATATCTTTACTCCCAATCTTTTCTAAAATTCTTGAAAAAGTTATATATAAAAGAATGATTTTCCACTTAAATACACATAACCTGCTAACG